AACACATATTGAGGTATCGTCCACTTTCCAAAGTACGCAGCATCGATAGCTTGTTCACCTTGTTTAACAACACATGCGGCATTCGCCACTGTATCTTGAATATTTCAAGCTGTGGCTCCAGTGTTACAGCTCCAAACAGACAATTGGTGTCGTTGCGTGATCGTATTAAAATCAATTCGTGACAAGCGTTAATTACCACGCGTTTGTAATCTTCACAGAATCCCAATAGCATGTTGAGCGGTACGCAAAAATTGAAATCTCCCTTCCCATTGAACGCCTCATCCCAGCCAGCATTCTTCAGAGTCGCCATTTTATCGACTGATGCCGAAACGTAGTTTTTGAGCGTGCTGGTTATTCCAACGTTTCTGGTACGATCAATCTCCACACCGTCAAGTTCATATCGGATCTCATCAAACATGAACGCGACGCAATTATTTCCCAGTACGACATCGGACTCAGGGATTTGTTTGGCAGTAGTTAGTTTTCCCTCGATGTACAGGAAACTTTCATGTGGCAACGTATAGAGATCCTGTTGTTGTATAGGTATTCTTATCTCATCGCTGTATTCAAATGTCGTGTTGGCAAACGGATTGTACGAGTGAGTTTCAATCTTGACGATGCGATCGTCGAAGACTGGCTCCTCCCCGATGTTGAGGATGTCAATCATTGTTTGCGCACCGCGAATCCCAATGATTTTAAAAATTCCACGTTCGCCGCGCTGAGCTTCTTTTTCCCACTGCAATCGGACGACTTGATATTATCGAAAGTTGACGCCACTGGTCTCACGATCTGCTCCGATCCGTTCAGTACGAGCATCTCATGTACACTCGCACGCGTTATCGTCGTCTCCGACGTATGTGCAATCTGACAGTGATCTCTTCTCCGCGAAAGTCGAGCAGTCGGCCGTTCTGGTCCACAACGCGTATCGTTAAATCAGTAATGCTCCGTGCGATGACTGGCAGGTAAATGATCTGCGTCGGCGTTTCCGATATCTTATATCCCGGTGGCACGCTCGGTGAAAATTTATGTATCGTGTGTACGGGTCTGCTGTTGCTGTACGCACCCGCGGTCACGTTGCACTCTACGCGGATAATGTTCACGTTGGTAATGTTGATCGGCAGGTCTGATTCATGCCACTTTCGTGGTTGTAGTATACGCGTCGATGAAAATCCCAGAAGTGATCCAATGTTGTTGGGCTTGCTAAAGTTTATTCTGAAGGCGCTTATAATTTCACTCCTCATCGTATTGTAATTAGCGCGCAACACAATCGGGTATTCATCGACATCGCCATCGTCGACGTCGTCGCTGCGTTTTTCACCATCGTCATTAGCTGTGTCATTAACTGCGTCATTAGCTATGTCATTATCTATGTCATTAGCTATGCCATTAGCTATGAAACGACGTATACGTTTCCGTGAAAGTGCACGCTTCAAAAACTCATTTATCGCTTGCAGTTCGTAGGATCCTTCGGGAATCGTAATTTCCGTGTCATCTTTGCCGAAGTAAAATTTATTATTCGAAGCATTCACATTCGATATCGTGTTGTAAGTTGAAAAATTCATTAAACCGAGCTCGTAATCGTCATCACTCAAATCTATGGCGGGGAAGTAGTTTACTGCGAGGACTCCACTCCTCCCGGTTAGCGTGAGTGTCAGTGACATGGTGGATGAAATACCGCTCAGCGTGTACTGAATCCTCGCGACGTCTCGCCAGACTTTAAATCTGTGTGAATCTGTCGTTAACCGTTTGGAGAAACCGTAGACTCAACTGTCCGCAGATGCTCTGATCGTAGGTCTGATGGGACGTTCGATTGTACTCTATCGTCACACCATCCCCGAAATACCACACCAGTTCTTTAGGCGGTCGGAGATTACCAAAACTATCGAAATATATCACACGGTTTCCCCTCTTTGCGTACGCTACCCAGTGAGTGCCGGAACCTGTCGCGTTGTCCAGATTGACGATACCGCTCTCGTTTCGATGTACGCCGCTTATCGGTAATGCATTTCGCATAAAGACACCTCTAAAGTGTCGTATACGCATTCGTCTTGCCAGTTGGTCCAATTGCACGTTCGTCGTTATACCCGTAGGCATTTTTAATGTTTTTTTGACGTTTTTTTTCCTTCCCTGTTTCGTTACACCTTGTCCACGTTTGTATGGAGCGAGATACACTCCGCGACCTTCCATCGCGTGATTGTGACGTTGCAGCTCCTCGAGCTGGCGTTGCGCAGCTTTGGCATCGTTCACCGCCTTCGCCACACCGGCTGCTTCGCCAATCATGGATCCGAGCACGCCCAGCATCGGCAGAATTGGCAAGAAACCACCGCGTTTCGCTACCGGAAGAATTCGCTTCTTTGTCGCTCTTTTCTTCTTCTTCTTTGTTTTCAAACCCCATACCGAGTTTTGTCTTTGCTTTCATAACCGCCCAAACAGCTGTAGCAGCAGCTTTCTCTCCAAGCGTTGAATCTCTAGCGGTAATGCGTTTCCGTGCTCTCTCGGCGAGTATCTTGTCCGCCACGTGTCTCTCGGCGAGTTCTTTACTGCGAGAATACGCAATGTCGTGTTCGCGGCACGCCGCGTCCAATAGATTTATCCCTCGATCTCCTCTCGCCAATCGTTCTTCCAGACGAGTGCCCGGGCCGCAAAACTGATAACCAGGGATATGCAGCTCGAAAGGAAGCGCGTTTAGTGCACGATTCAACAGACTGCCGCCACGTTTTACCGCTGTTGCGTCAACTGACATTCGCTGCAATTTTTTATCAACGGCGGTGGACCGTCGATGTGCGTCTGCTGAGACGGTAGATTGTAATGCTCCAGACAACGACGATACTGCACAACTTCCGAATCTGTCTTGATATGGTCGGGAAGTCTATCCCACACATAATCTATGCAATTATAAAATTCTTGCAATAGAATGACCTTTGGTATATACTTCAACTGTTCTGCTGTTAAATCGTATATGTCACTGTTATTCGACAAAAGCAGAAACATGACTGAGCGATTCGTTGTGTCGCGCCTGGTTAAATAGGTGTCGTCTACCGAGCGGTTTCACGCGCCTATAAATAGACGCACGATTTCCCTCCCCCTTTCAGTGTGAGAAATGAATTTTGTGCGACAGCCGTTGACGATACGCGTTAGGAATTACGACGACAGATTACGGTCGATGGGAGGGGATAACACCGAGAAACGCAAGCATGGTACGATGCTACCGACTAGTATCCGCGCGATCGTGTGCGGCCCCTCGAATTGCGGAAAAACAAATGTTCTCATAAGCTTACTGGAAAGTCCGCACGGTGTACGTTTCGAGAACGTGTACGTGTACTCAAAGTCGCTGCAACAACCGAAATATCAGTACTTGGAGCAGCTGTTGGAATCTGTTGACGAAATCGGATACTTTACGTTCTCCAATAACAGTGACGTCATTCCACCGAGCGAGGCGCGCCCGAACTCGATCTTTATCTTCGATGACGTGGCGTGCGACAAGTAAGACACTGTGAGAGAGTACTTTTCAATGGGGCGTCACTCGAGCGTCGACTGCTTTTATCTCTGTCAGACTTACGTGAGAATACCGAAACATCTTATACGCGACAACGCGAACCTGCTAATCCTATTCAAACAGGACGGTACCAATTTGAAACACGTTTACAACGATCATGTGAATACCGACATGTCGTACGATGATTTCTGTGCGTTGTGTGGCAGTTGCTGGCTAGACAAATACGGTTTCCTAGTGATAGACAAGGACAGTGCGCTCAAAAATGGACGATACAGAAAGGGATTTAACGCGTTCGCTGTACCAAGAACCGATTAGTCGTTGCCTGTATTCCGTTGGGTAAAAAGCGAGCGGTCAGCATGGCTGGGAGCGATGATATTAACAAGCGTGAAAAGATTGCGAGAGAGATTAAAAAAACGAGTGAATCAATTCGCAAGAAATATCGCGCTTTGAAGACCAGTAACATCGAGGATGATATTGCTGTGAAGACTCATTTTAAGCCAATCATTGAGCCGTTGCAAAAAATCGTTGACAACTCCAGCGGGGTGCGCGCGATTAAAGATGAGCCGATCAATGACGTAGAGATTGAAACGTTGTACGATCATAAGCGTGAAAAGGACGCGATACTGAAAAAGGTAAAGAAGCGTCGAGTCTCACCAGTTCACTCGCCGATCGAGTCAAAACAGTTATAAATCATACGATGCATTGAATACACTGGAAGCATCGTTGATAACATCCACACCGCGTACCATACATCCAGCGACGGTGGAGGCGGCGGCTACACATATCAACGAACCTTTTGAATCCGAAGATGTTTTCCAAACCACGGAGGATTCGCTCCCGACAGCCGTTCAACGCGAGATACAAACGCAACAGGGTCAAGCTGCGTTGCAGACGCACCTGGGTCCGCTGAGCCAAAAATATATCGAGGCAGTTTTACGCGGACCGCATACCAAAAGGTGTGGTACATACGGTGATATAGATTTTACGTACGGTGTTCATCTCGACAAGGATGGAATGAGGCTCGGTAGTAACGGTTCGACGTGGACAGCGATGATAATATAATTCTCGATGGCGTGCGATACAAAGGCACACCCGGTCTTTACGAGCTGATTTTCAAGAGACTTCCCGACGATGGGAAGTACACGACGGAGGATCTACAAAAGTACAAGAGTATACTTCTGGCAACAAATGTGCACAAGCGCAATTACAGCGTGGAAGGTCAAAAACTTGGTATTAGGGGGTACAAGTACAACCATATAATTGAACGATCAAACGAACTTACCTGTGAGTGAAGTTCGATCGTAATTATACGAAAAGCCTCGTTCGAGGAGATTACACGTGTAGTTTCCTTTTCATCCACTAGATGCCACAACTTTGAGAGTGAGAGAGAGAGAGCGACTGCGGCGCCCTCCCGCCTAGTCGCTCTCCTGCCTGTCGTTCGCCATCATTTTTCAGAGTTTGTCTTCTTAAAGCTGCTCTTTTAAATAGGGTTGGGTTTTTTTGGGGGGGGGGTGTAATCTCCTCGAACGAGGCTTTTCGTATAATTACGATCGAACTTCACTCACAGGTAAGTTCGTTTGATCGTTCAATTATACTTCAAGCCTCGTTCTCAGGATTACACGTGTAGTTATTCAGAGATAGCAGCTTTAAGACTTACAATTTTATTAGGATTTTTGAAGTTAAGTATTATACTTCTATTCTTACACATGTATCCTTACAATAGTATATAAATATATATATATATATACTATCAACCTTATTTTACTAGTAATATCCTCGTATTCTTATATTTCGGCCTTATACCAACAAAAAATTACCTATATATATATATATACTGTTTTTTAATATAAGAGTGTACGTAAAGAAAATATAACCTTTTTATATTCTTAAAATAGTATTTGCGAAAACGTCATCACTAACTGTGATTGGCCTGTTATAGAATTTCGCGAAGATCTGGGAGTTTTCTGTCCAACCTGCTGTTTTTCTAATTATTGCTAAGTTTAGTCCTTTACTGAAAGCTTTTGAAGTAGCAGCATGTCGAGTTGAATGATCTGAGAAAGTAGTTGTGTCTATCTTACTTTCTTTTAAAACTGATTTTATCCAATGACTGAAAGTCTGTGTGTTTGTTGCTTTGTGAGGTTTTCTTGTTGTGATAAATAATTGTTGTACTTTTCCTCTGATTTTCTCTGTGACTTCTAAATATTTGGTTAACAATCTGACTAAACATAATTCCGGTTTTTCATTAAAACTTTATAACACAATCAAAGGTTGAAATCTCCCAGGTCCTGACGTTTTTATTATTTCTGGAACTCTAATTTCCAGTCTTCCCTTCGACTTAGTAATATTGTTAATCTTTATATTAGTCAAGGTTTGAGCCCGGTGAGCTGTACATAACGCTAATAACATCGCTGTCTTTTTACTCAGAGCGTAGAGACTTAAGTCTTCTAAAGGATATAGACTTTCTAGGTGTTTTAGAACTAGGGAGACATCCCACGTAAACGCATATTTTGGTCGTGTAGGTTTCAGTCTAAAGATGCCTTTTAGGAATCGACAGATTAGTCTATTTTCTCCTATTTTATCTTTGGAAATTAACGAAATTGCTGACCTGTGGGAGTTTAGTGTCCCGTACGAAGCGCCGTTTTTAAAACAGTCTGTCAAGAATTGTATCACAATCTCACAAGACGGGTTATAAAAGTCTAGGTTGTTTTGTTCACAATATATGTTCCATTGTCGTAAGGACGATTCGTATTGTTTAATTGTTGATCCTGATATCGACGCTAACATTATCTCTAACGAATTTTCCGGTACGCCTTTTCTCAGAAAGGCTTCGCTGACAGCTTTCCTGCAATTAAACCTAGGTGCTTCGCTCTGGGGTGTTGGATTAACCTATTTGGTGACAAAGTAGATTAGGTTTTGGTTTAAATATAATTGGTTCTGATATCATTAATTTTGTAAATAACGGATACCATGGCTGGTTCGGCCAATTAGGAACAACCACTATACCACACGCTCTATCCTTTTTTATTTTAACTAAGGTTTTTAGAATTAGAATAAATGGGGGAAAGGCGTAAAAATTTAAATTGAACCATGAAAAAGTGAATGCATCTATTTGTTTCGCGTCTGGTTCTGGGAACCAGGACACAAATCTATCGCATTTGCAATTTGATTTTGTGGCAAATAAGTCAATCTCTGGATTACCTAATGACCTGATTATTTTATTGAACGCGAAGGGTGCTAATTTTCATTCACCATCTTCGTTTCTTAATCTTGATAAGGCATCTGCTTCGATATTATCTTTAGAAGCAATGTATGATGCAAATAAAAATATGTTTCTTTTTTCAGCCCATTTCCAGATTCTTCTGGCTAGATAGTGGTATTTTAAATATTTAACGCCTCCCATTTTATTGATATAGGATATAGCGGTGGTATTGTCTATTCTCAAGAGTATTTGACAATTTTTTAATTCAGACGCCAAACTCTTTAGGGCCAGTTCTACTGTTAGTAATTCTAAGTAGTTTATATGTTTTCTCTTTAGTGTTTCATTCCAAAACCCGTAAGTTCTGTCGTTATCTCCTACCGCGCCCCAACCGGTTTTTGATGCGTCTGTGTAAATTGTTGTTTCGTAATTCCCTGATTTAATCTGGTTGACTGAATCTTTTAGTTTACAACGCCACCAATCTAACTCTGGAATGATATACTTAGGGACAATCATTGTTTCGTCGTAATTATAATCGTTAATAATAAGTGCGAATAGTTTCTCTCTTTCTAACAATTTTGTATATAGAAATCCATATTCTATTGCTGGGCACGCTGCGACCAACTTACCGATTAATTGTGCAAATTCGTTAATTGAGCAAGTCTTTTTTGATTGAATTTTGTTCAACATATCAGTTAGATTATCTCTTTTTTCTCTTGTTAACTCTATGCAATATTTCTCCGAATCAATAATAAAGCCTAAGAATTTTCGTCTCGTCGAAGGTTCAAATTTACTCTTTCTTTCATTTATTAAGAAACCTAAGGATAGTAGTAATTCTTTTGTTTCGGATACGTTCCTTTCGCATTTTTCTATACTATCTTCTATGCATAATATATCATCTAGATATATAGTTGACGAGAAACCTTTACTCCTAAGGAACTTAACGACTGGCTTTAGTATCTTCGTAAAGATATAAGGACTTGTACATAGACCGAAAGGTAAACAAACGAATTCGAATGTTTTGTCTAGGAACTGAAATCTCAGATATTTTCTACTCTTATTGTGAATTGGGACTGCATAGTATGCGTCTTCGAGGTCTATTGAAGCCATAAAATAGTTCGGAAAAATCAATTTTATTGCCGTACGTAAATCTTCTAACTTAAAGTGGTTAGTATTAATAAATTCGTTTAATTTCTTTAGGTTCAAAATAAATCTATGAGATCCGTCGGGTTTTTTTATTAGGAAGTACGAAGATAAGAATTGATCTTTCCTCGGCGAACAAACTTGTATTGCCCCTTTGTCTAGTAATAGGTTAATAGCCTGGTTATAGTTCTTAATTTCGGTCTGGGTATTAAACTTAATTACTGGACATTGATTCTGTACCACTTTCGAGTTGAATTTGATTTCGTACCCCTGTATGGCATTTAGTACAAATTTGTTGTTTGTTATCTTTTGCCATTCAGGGAAGAAGTGTTTTAATCGGCCAGCGTTACCTACAATTACTTGTCTCTGTCGTGATGTCTGTGTCCTGATGATCTGGAGCTCCGGTGCGTCTGTGCCCTTGAGTTCAGAGGTTCCTTCGTCTTGAATGTCAGGCGAGGACGGTTCCGGCCTTGGGTGTTCGTGTAGCCTGCGCGGTTGGTGAGCGGCCTCCTCCCCTGCAGGCTTTTCCAGTTTAAAGTCTGTTTTGGACCTTGGTATTGGGTTGTAGCTCTTGGTGCTGTTTGATTTTTTACATTCTGTGATAACTTTTCTATATTTTTTGAGTCTTTAATTTTCTCTGCCAAATTATTTCCGAACAAAAAATTAGCTGGTTTTGTTTCTTTAAGCATGCTTTGGAATTGTTTCTTAACTCCCGGGTAAATAAACGCTTTTCGAGATACAGATTGATTATGGTGAATCTGTATAATTAATTTTGCTGCTTCGTTCAGTCTTTGTACGAAAGTCAGCTTATCCACGTCTTGTTCTGCCATAATCATTGTTAGGGTTGATCCGATCGCAGTCAATGCTGATCCGGCTAATTTTTGATTTTCCAGCATATATCTATCTCTTTTAATCGCTTGCTCTGTAAGTATGGCAGAGATTTCCGCATTTAGTTTTGGTGCGTCGAACTCGGTTGATCTTGCGTATTTCTCTGTTAGTTCGTCCTTAACTTTCTTATCTAGGCCGTGTGCAATCCAGTAATTCCACTGTAATTTTATAGACTCGTGAAGGGTAATGTCTAGCGCTTTCGACTTTTGAGGATCTTCACCCAGCATCTCCAAGATGTTTTCATCAATCGCTTCCTCATTTTCTACGCTATTTGGCGCTTTATTCTCATCCTGTTGTCTCTCTTCTCCTTCTTCTACATAACAAAACCAGGTTTTTATGTATATATAATTGTATCTATATATATATTATTACATTTATCTATTGTTTTCCCTATTATGTTTTGTCTCTCGTACAAACTCAATAGGAATCTAAAGAGCCTAATGGCTAATTTTTGATATGTTTTGCCTCTCGTGCAAACTCATCAAACAAGAGCTGATATTTTTTCTCGAGGTAGTGTTTGATCTGTTTTGCCTCTTGTGCAAACTCCTCAAACAGAGTCTAACCTGTCTTGCCTCTCGTGCAAGCTCGTTAGCTGTATTACCTTGAGACTTAAAGTTATATTATTCTCTTACCCAATTCTACTATTTCCTGGCCTGGATCATTCTTAGGGTCCTCTACCTGTTGGTCTTCCTCTAACCTTTCTTCCTCAGTACTGCTAGAGGAATCTGACTCTGCTTGAATCGTTTCCATCTTCCTCTGCAGTTTTCGTAGCTTTCTCTGCAGATATTCTATATCTGCTTTTCGCTTTCTGAGCATCTTGTACTACGAGTATTAGGTGATGCAATCTTCCTACTCACTCTCACGTGCAGCCTCTAGCGCACAACGAAAAAGAATGATGGCGAACGACAGGCAGGAGAGCGACTAGGCGGGAGGGCGCCGCAGTCGCTCTCTCTCTCTCACTCTCAAAGTTGTGGCATCTAGTGGATGAAAAGGAAACTACACGTGTAATCCTGAGAACGAGGCTTGAAGTATAATCGCACCGTTAGTGTCGGACGATGGGATAAAGACCCGGTCCAAGACGAAATCTGGAAAAGGATTACCTCGCGCTATGACGCTAAACAACAATGCGATTGATTACGTGCACTGGGATGATCCCAATGAGCTTGTGGACCGCCTACGATTGCTCGACGCTTCGCGCCGAGCCGGTCACAACGCGCATGACAACGAGATGCTGTCCATTATCGAAGAACTTCGTGAGGCTGGTTTTATTGTAAATTAACTCGAGTATCAACGAATCAGAAACATGTCTGTATGTCGGAAAAAACGGGTCTGTAAACGGGTCTGTATGTCGGAAAACGGGCCTGTAAACGGGTCTGTATGTTGGAAAACGGGCCTGTAAACGGGTCTGTATGTCGGAAAACGGGTCTGTAAACAGGTCTGTATTTCGGAAAACGGATCTTTAAACGGGTCTGTATGTCGGAGCTGTTAGAAAACATATATCGCACGATAATCTTTTCGCGCATACCATTACACCAACGATCACATCATCGAGACATGAGACCGTCAAAATCGAGTGGACGTAACGATTCCGAGAAGCGAAGACTCGTCGAGGAGCTGCATGCCCCGGCGAGAAAGAATTTTCCCCGGAGACACGTCATAGTTCGAGGATACGATGATCTGTGGCAAGCCGACCTCGTTGACATGCAGGCGTACTCACGTTTCAACAGAGGCTACCACTACATACTTACCGTCATCGATGTGTTGAGCAAGCACGCGTGGGCCGTGCCCCTCAAGACTAAAGGCGGAAGCGAGACGGCTGACGCTATCGCTGAGATAATTCGGGAGAGCGAAAGATGCCCGAAAAACCTACAAACTGATATGGGGAAGGAATTTTACAACACCTACGTGCAACGACTTTTGAAGAAACAAAACATCAATCTCTATTCCACATATTCCATAATGAAAGCGTCAGTCGTCGAGCGGTTCAATCGCACGTTGAAGAACGCCATGTGGAAGATGTTTACACTCAATGGAAGTTACAAGTGGACAGATTTATTGCCGCGACTCACAGCCGAGTACAACGCGCGCAAGCATCGCACCATCGGTACGCGGCCCGTCGACGTCACCCCCGCGGTTGCCAACAGGCTCCTGAAAACGGTGTACAGCCACGTAAAAATCGCCGGTCCGACAAGGTTCAAAGTGAA